CCCCCACACACACACACACACGCTTACACTGAGAAACTGGTTGTTGCTTTTATATTTTGGCCCTATACAAAATACCATTTACAAGTTTTGGTCATTTGTGTACATGACATTAGTGATGTTGAATTCCTGTCAGTGTGGACATGTTTAGGACAAGCTCAAATTGGTGTTAAATTGTACAGACAGCTGCAGTCACCAGTTGTTCTGGGCTTGTGGGAGTACATGAACAACAGTGGACAACAAAGTGCTGTTTGGTCTACTCACCCTTTTCAATGACTCAACCTCATCCTCAGGCCAAACAAAGGTTCATATAATTCATAATTTTAGATGTAACTATTTTCAGGCTGTGGCTGAAGTGTCTGCATTCATGCATGTGTTGTTGAAACCCAAACATCCCAGCGCCAGCTAGTGACCTAGCATGAAATCTACAATGAATTCGATAAACACCATTTTTCCACAATCAGTATTGGAAAAATGCTGATTCCAGAGATTGTTCATGTGTCTGTACATATGAGCATAACAGGCAATGGTAGCTATATATCAAATTTGCAACACAGATTATGTTATTATTTAGTAATAAACCCACTTAAACTTTTAAATAAATGATTTGTCATTATTATGTGTTTGATCAGTGCTAGTTCACAAAGGTCAGTGCTCAGATTCACATCTTCACTGTCAGCTCTCTTGGTGTCAAATATGTTCCTTTTGAGACTAATTTTAGGGCTTAGTTGTTAGTTCTTTTTTTTTGTCACCAATAATTTTATTAGTAATACTTGTCTTTAGACAGAGGTTTAACTACTGTAAGTACATTTATTTTGTTACAGTACTTAAGTAGTTTTTTTGAGGATTTGTAATTTTACCAACAATTTTTTAAACAGCTACTTTTACTCTGTTACATTTTAAAGCTAAAAATGATACTTTTACTTCTTTAGTTTAAAATGTAACCCCTAGTTACTCTTTACAAAATTAAATATGTTCAAACTCATCATGAAAGAAGATGTTAATGCACTCTAAAAAAACGAAGTGTTGAATTTATTCAACAAAGTCATGTCAACTGGTTCCACTAAGATTAGTCGAGTAAATTGAGCAAAGAATATACATGTCGCAATTTGCTTAACCTGGATTAGTGGAGCTAATTTGGTTCGGTAAATTCAACAATTTATTAATTAGAGAGTGTGTAAAACTACTTTTACTCTCCCAATTTTGTGAACAGTTTTATTACTTTTACTTAAGTAGTTTTCTCATCATTGAAATGTATTTTTATCCAAAGTCCAATTCTGTTCATGTAATTTTACTTTTACTTAGTTTTTTCCCCAATTACTTTATAGTCCTCTGCTTTAGACATTTGTTAACATTTGTAATCAAATTTTATTTGTTGTTTTACTGTTCAAAATATTTCTCTAATATTTTTGCTGTCACCCACCCAAGTTTATATCTTCTCATTGAGTTATTAATCGAAATAAAATCGGCAGAAATTTAGCATTTTTGCAGAGTTCTGGAAGTGCACCCTGTGGTGGGTGCAGTTCCATGTCTAAACACTAGTGGCGCTAATGAGTCAAATAGGAAAGTCCAGCGTGAATCAAGCTTACAGAAGTCTTATTCTCTTCTCAACAAGATTTGAACTTTTCTGCAGAAAGTCTTTCAGCTGACAAATGATAGTTGAATTTTCTCACATGCTGTGTTTGAGAGTATTTTAACTATGTATAGTAAAATAC